CCCAGCCTGTATTGGTACAGGGAGTTGCCCCAACCCACGTGCAGGACATTGCACTTGGTCTTGTTGAACCTCATGAGGTTCAACACAGGCCCACTTCTCAAGATTGTCCAGGTCCCTCTGGATTGCATCCAGTCCCTCTGGCATGTTGACCACACAACACAACTTGGTGCATCTTCTCTTGATGACAACACAACTGTACCAATCTCAAGGACAGATCTCCAAACCTCCCTCTGGTCAGATCTTTAGCTTCCTCATGAAGCACAAAAAAAGCAGAGACACAGGGAGAAGATCAAGGCATCACCATTTTGCAAGTGATTCCAGAACACAAAACAATGTCACAGACTGGCAGGGGAATACTGACAGTTTATTTCACAGAGCATTGCAGAGTTTATTTTGGTCTAGCTCTATTTTCATCAAAAAAGTATCATCCTTTCAAAAAAAAAAGTAGCAAATATTCAGGACGATAATGGTAACAGTCAGTGCATTACGCATAAAGTTTGGGTCTCATCATAAAAAAAAAAAGAAAGAAAAAAGTGAATTATGAAAACAACTCTTTGTTGGATTGCTTCAAACACTTCCAAGCTTTTAAGCACTTGACCTTTCAATAAAGTCATCTCCAAGGATAGAAACGGAACATGCAGGTGATTATCAACAGATGCTGAGATTTAACAACATCTCTCACTTGGCAATGACAATCCACCAGGAATGTTTCAATACAGCACCACATTAAAAGGAGAAGCAACTTTGTTCTCAAAAGCCTTCAAATCCACCAAAATCTTGCAGTTCTGCAGAAAAAACACACTGTGTATCACAGACTTAAGAGAGTACCATACAAAAGGAATAGCATTTGGGGAAGGTAAGAGGGAGCATGGACCAGGGTCTTATTCCACTTACATTCATAAAAACCCAGGGCAGATGCGAAGGAATTAAATTCTTGTTTTGCACTGCTTAGGAGGTGCTTGTTAAAGCATCACAAGTCATATTTTCATTATCAATAGGGGTATTGGGGTATTTTTCTCTGACATAGATAAGTTGGCCACTTTTGCCCCCAATTCTTACACATTAAACCCAAGACTTCGGGGGTTTCAGAATGCTACTGGAGTACAGCTTAAAGATACAGCAGTTCAGTGCTGCCAAAACAAGAACAAACTGCTCGAGGCTGTTTTTATTGTGGCTTATTTCTGGACCTTTCCGAGCCTGCTTTGGGTGTCAAATGTGATACACATCTGCATCCCCCACACCGCCTTCTCCTCTGCAAGGTGACTTCTCCACTCATGGGCTCTACAACCCAGCTTGGCCAGCACCTGAAGACTCAGCCTCAGCTCTCATTCCTTCCAAACAACTTTGATAGTCCCATCGCTTTCAACACGGCTCACACCGAGCTTCAAAGGAAGCTCAGACTCAATGGGATTTCTCACGTTGCACGTTGTGTCGACCAAGATCCAGCAAGGAAGGGAACAACCCAACACCAGAAGGCCACGGGGACTGAGCCAAGACCCATTCAGAGCTCCGGCAGCCTTCCGGCTGGCTTCAGCTGCCTTGGGAACCGGCTCCGTGTGAACAGCAAAGTGACCCAAAAACAGGCTCCTCTTCACAAGGCCTTGAAGGTCAAGAGCAGAGCTGAGAGTTTCAGGGAGGAGATAAAACTCACTGTGATTAACTTTGTTTCTGAGCTTTTTTTTTTTTTTTTTTTAAACCTCTGGTCTCTGATTTTGGTTTAAAGCCTTTTGCATTGGAAACACACTGATGAGAGGCTCTAGCCTTCACGAGCCCGTCAGCATCTGCTGCAAGACCGTCACTCCTTTGGAGGACGCGAACATGCAGCTTTAAAGATCCTGCTTTTAAAGCAAGGAGGAAAGGTCTCCTTGCAGGAATAAATTATACTCCAGGGCTGCTTCACCTTCCAAACTATTTACAACTCCCTCACCCATGGGCATCTCCTTGGCCCAGAGAAGGGGAAGCTCACACTGCACCACCACCTCCTTTTCCTACGCAGGTGCAAGGACAGGGAAGCAAGGAGCGACTGCAAATGCCACTTGGAGTGGCAGGCACTTTAAGCCAGATCTGAGCAGTGATGGTGCCCATGGCATTGCTTTTTGCAAGCCATCTGGGCTCCCAACAGAGCCCAACTCAGGGAGAAGACAGAAAAAAAGGGGAGGGAAAAGAATAAAAAAGGAAAGCATTGCTGCCAGCAGAGGCCAATCTACAGCCAACGGTCTGGATTTGCCTTCAAGACTGCAGCAGGACATTTCAAGAAGGCCATTCCCCTGCAATCATCCAGACTTTGGGGAAGGAGGATGGGACAGGGAGAAGGTGCCCAAGTGACTGAGCCAGTGCAACCCCTTCCCTGGCTCTGAACTTCAGGAGGGAAGAGCAGTGTTACCTCCTCTCCTAGGAAGGCTTCTCTCCACCAAACAGCCTCCTGTTGCTTTAGAGCTAAAACTTCATTGCCCAGGAAAGGGAAAGGGAAGGAGGGGGGGCGGGGGGGGCAAACAAACGAACAAAAAAGAGAACATAAAAACAACACTTCACGAGAACATCACAACGTTCAGCTACACAGTCGCTGCACCAAGGGAAGGAGTGGAGCAGGGCAAGGGGGAGAAAGGGGAGACACGTCCTACGTGTTTTTCCCAGAACCCCCCAAAGGGACTCAGGCTGTCATGTCAAGATTCAAATAACTTCAGCCATAAGGTCGAGGATTTAATGAACAGGGTATTTCCACTCATGCCCTGGAAAAATTACACTCAAAAAAAGAGACAAAAAAATTCAGATTTTCTACATATTTACAAAAACAAGCCCCTCAACCTCACAACCAGGGAGGTGGAGCAGCTAGTGATGGGGTATGGGAAGGGGTCTCTGCCCAACCAGCAGTTCCGCAAAGGTTCCCATCCCACAGCAAGCAGGAGAGCATGGCTCTCGCTGCCGGAGCAAACGTGGGGGATGCCACGTGCCAGGGTTGGACCGGAGCCCCTCAGTTCATCCGCAGCTTGGTGTCCCGGTGATCTGTGGGGGTGACCATCTCGTTGGCGTAGCCATTCTCGGAGCAGAGAGACAGCTCGTCCGTGGTCTCCACGCCGTTGTTGATCTCTGGGGAGGGTAGAGAAAGCAGGGACATCGTCACAGGGGTGCAAGTCCCAGGAGCCCCTCCATGGATGGGGAAACTGAGGCACTGAGCAGCCATGCGATTCCAGCATGTGGGATCCATCTGATCCTACAGGGATTTCACCCCGGGTTTAACAACACTGCACCCACTTAAAACCAGTTCTGAACAGGATCTGCCTCCAAATAGCAGCTCACCGCTAAATTTCAGACCTTGACAATCCTACCACCAGAAGCAAAACTGGACCCCCCCCATACGCATGATGCTACGTCACAGGCTGAATTAGTCACCTGTGGGAAAAGGGTGCCAAATATCTGAATTTAACTCTACCAAAATGGCCATTCTGGAAAAAGGACAGACTCCTATAGTCATTGGTTTCACTGGGAAAAATGTGCAACCAGCAATGTTTTAATTGTAAACACCCACCCTAAGCAAGAACATTTGTTTCAGAGACACAAAACTTTAATATGTATCCCCTACCTCTAAGGATGTTTTATGTCTGGGACATTTTATGTATAGAACACATTGGGGAGGCTTAATTCTGCTGTGACCAACTGCTTTTCCTCTCTGGGTTCCCTGGATTTACACCTGATTTTCACCATCTCTGGAGGTCAGAATCAGGCCTGCATTTCACACAATGAGCTCTTTGAAGCAAGAGTTGTCGTTTTGCTGTGTATGTGCCCAGTACAATAAACCCTGATCCCTGCTGGAGGGCTCTAGCCCCTAAATACAAAGAAAGAAATCTAATAGCAAAGCTCTAGGGATCATATTCACATTCCTTTAAATGCGACTTTTCCAGCTTCATGCACTAACTTTAATCTTCTAAAGCTAAATGCTTCCCTCTTTGTACGCATTTCTGCGATCTTAGAGGTGGGGTGAGATGGACACATTGCCAACATGTTCCAACATAAATAAATGCTGGGAAGAGCACAAGGATATTGGGAACCCGTCACCCTGTAAGCGCCACTGAATTCTAGGTCTTTCTACCCCAAACTCATCGCCACTGTTTGTGGTGGCCTATGCCATTATTTTAACGGGTTTTATAGCTTTTGACACGCTGTTGACAATGGAGAGCAGAGATGACGTGGGACAGTATGAGAGCTGCATGGCATAACTTGGGAAGTTAAATGCATGATTTCTGAGCAAATCAGTGCTCAAACCTGCACCAGTTTGGGATGGATGAGCCATGACCATATCCCACAAGTGGTTCAGTGCAGCAGGGTCAGTCCAGTCACCCTGTCCCACCAGCACATGACGATACCTGTATCAAGGCCATCTCCTCCGTCAGCAAGGAGCAGGGTGACAGCTGAGGGATGGAGCAAAGGGCTCTGACTGACCAGCCCCATCCATACCTGAGAAGATCAGCTTCTCCTTCATGATCTTGACATCCCGGCTGGACCGGCGGACAGCAGCGCTGAGCATGATCTGCTCTGGATTGTAGGTCCTGATGCTTCCTAGGCGCCACCTGCAAGATAAGAGCAGGATATCAGGGGCTGGTCTCCCCAACCACGGGAGCAACCTCAATGCAAGTGGCCACCAACAATGTGTAGAGCAACAAATCCCAGAAACCCTC